TCGGCCTAGGAAAGGTTGGAGGGAGGGGTAAAGGAGGTTTTGTGTGCGAGGGGCTTGGACTTCCAGCAGGCATGCATGAGCGTGTTTGATAGGAGTGAATGGAGACAAATGGTTTTTAATACTTGACGTGCTGTTGGAGTGTAAGCAAAGTAACATTTATGAAGGGGTTCAGGGAAACCGGCAGGCCGGACTTGAGTCCTGGAGATGGGAAGTACAGTGCCTGCACTCTGAAGGAGGGGTGTTAATGTTGCAGTTTAAAAGCTGTAGTGTAAAGCACCCTTCTGGCAAGACAGTGATGGAGTGAATGATGGTGAAAGTTTTTCTTTTTCGGGCCACCCTGCCTTGGTGGGAATCGGCCAGTGTGATAATAAAAAAAAATAAATGAGATGTGGTAGCCAGGCAACTTGTAGTCCAACATCAAAAAAAATGTGTCACTATAATATTACTGGGGGTAAGTAGAAAATTTTTCCTTTCATATGCCTTCACTCAGAGCATCATTTTTTCTAAAAATGGTGTTACAGAAGAATGGGAGTGTTTCTCTCTATTCTACTGTATCAACGTGGAGACAACTTGTACACAGTGTAAAGTGATGAAAACCAGACACATTTGCTGGTTTGTTTACATTACGTGTGGGTGGGGTGGGGCGGGGAGCACTGCCTTGGCTGGCTACCACCTGATTTCCTACAAATAAAGCTCGCCTCTCACCCTACATTAGGACTACCAACATTTTAATATAAGTAATGGGTGTACTGTATATGTATTGTACTTTTTATTGTTTTTAATGCCTAGTTCTATTGTTAACTTAATATATGTTAGTGTAAACTTGTTATCTGGTATTTATATGCATTTATAAGTGGAAAAAATGGTGTTCTACTTTCCGGCAATGTCTGCTTTCCAACAGTAGGCTGAAACCTAACCTGCCGAATAAGTGGGGCCCTACTGTATTGAACATTTCAATTAAGCAGATGTAGTCTACATAACTGACGGACTTCCAGACATGGACAAATGTCCAGTAAAACATACTTAGCTGCTGTAATGATGGACTACCAGACAGTTACAGCACAGAGTACAGTACAGTATTTTTTCTTACCTTTTTTAGGGGATAGATGAGCTAACAGATATACAATACAGTATGGTACAGTATTACCATATGTTCTAGTGGCAACCCAGAATAACTTATTCTGAGTCAGTGGAACTGTAAAGCTCCAGTAGTAACATTGTGGGAGACAGACAAGTAGATAGTGAAGGAGCTGTAGATAGTGTGGGAGATGTAGATGGTTCAGCAGAGATGGCTTAGGTTGTTTGGGAGACACAGAACGAGGAAGAGGTTTAATTGTTTGGCACGCTGATGCTCGACAGAATGAACATTAATGCCAGTAGCGTGATGTTGAGCATAACAGTTATACAATGCTGCTTCAACCCTTATATCTTGGGGCCATTTTCATATGCTTCCTAAGAGTAACTGCAAGTATAGATTAATATTTCAAAGTGATTCAGTGATCTTCAGTTAAGTAGAACCCCAGTAGTGGAAATAAGTCACTCTTACTTTCTTGGGGTCATCCTAGGTAATTTATACATATATTACTGTGTATAATAATTTGTGTAGCTGTATTTATGTGTACCTGTACTTAAATAAACTTACTTAATTACTATTACAGTGGACCCCTGGTTAACGATATTTTTTCATTCCAGAAGTATGTTCAGGTGCAAGTACTGACCGAATTTGTTCCCATAAGGAATATTGTGAAGTAGATTAGTCCATTTCAGACCCCCAAACATGCACGTACAAACGCACTTACATAAATACACTTACATAATTGGACGCATTGGGAGGTGATCGTTAAGCGGGGGTCCACTGTATATGCATAATAAGAAAGGAGTGATATCAGAAGATCTCACATTCTAGGATCCCTCCTGACTCTAGGACGTCATAATATAATGGCTGGTTCTGTGGTTTGTGCCTAATGGCAGAGAAACCTTTCTTCTCTGGAAGGGGTACCACTCACCCCACAGGGTGCTTGCCTGACTAAGAACCCAGCACGTCTCAGCATAAATGGCAAGGATATTTCCCCTTTTGTCTAAATTTGCTCATATTCCTGAGTGATTACATGGAATATTTTATGGATATGGATTGCAGAATATGAAGAATAGTCTAACTTATATTGTGATTATATAGCGTGAGTGCTTTAGTCACAAGAGTAACAACTTGGTGTTGATGGTGTAAATTTGCTACAAAATTTTAGGAACTGAATATGTTTAAAGTGCTGAATAACCAAAAATGTCCTAGTGTTTTGTAAATACAATAGAACAACAACATTCAAGGATTACTACAATGTTCAGTACAAGATGATGACCCACTGATGATATACTTCAGATCATTTGTTCTCTCCAGGCTGGAATACTTCTGTATGCTAAAGGTTCCTTCAAGACAGGCAAGATTGCTGTACTAGAAAACATTCTGTCAAACATCTTAACTTCTGGGAATTATAAAAGGACCTTATGCTGTACTTTTTGGAATGTAGGCAAGAAAGGTACATCATAATTTACAGCTGGAAAATCCTGAAAGAACTGGCCCCAAACTTGCATCCCAAAATCACTTTGTACTAAGGCAAGAGATTTCGCAAGTGGTGTAAAGATCTTACAGTAATAAGTAGGGGCACAACACATACACTAAGAGAGAACTCAATAAATGCCGGAACCCAGAATTTTCAGTGCCTTCCCTTTGTTCATAAGGGGCATTACCAACATACCTTGGTCTGTATTCAGGAGGGAAATTAATAAGTTCCTCTAATAAGTTCTTGACCAGCTGGGCTGTGGTTCCTACACTTGACTGCCTGTGGCCAGCAGTAACAGCCTGGTTGATGAGACCTTGATCCACTGGGAGGCCTGGTCTGGAGCAAGACTGCAGGAACATTAACCCTCAGAAATATCCTTAAAGTGCTCTTGAGGTAAAGAAAAGCATAATTATTAAATGTGTGGCTCTTGAAGTTCTGACAAACAAATGTGAACTGTCTATAGATGCATAAAATAAGCACAAAATATTAGTGAATTTGATTAAAAACAAACTGAAAAAATTTTTTTTTTTTTTTTACTTCAATGAGTTTCTCCTGCCGAGGCAGAGTGACATAAAGAATTGCATTCAGCTTCCTTCACCCAGTCACTTTCGTGTCAGAAGTGTGTTCCCATCACAAATTCAGATTACCCTCTGACCCCAACATGTTCATAGAACTGTTGCAGCCTATGGAAGTCCTTGAAATATGGCTCCATACACAGTGGTGTTTTACAGATCTTTACACATAAAATGTCTACACTTGATGGATGCCATCTTGTGTGTACACAGACACAACAGCCCTCCTGAGCACATTTCTTCTTTCCTGCAGCAGGAAGTGTTGTTAGGAAGTGATCACCAAACTTCAAATGAGAGGGTATTCAGTGGTCATCTTGCAGTGATATTTCTGGTGCCCTGAGCATCACTTTCAGCCATTATATGTCCAAAACCAAAAAACTCATCATTGGTTTCATAATTATCATTGTTGGAGTTGTCACTGCGGCATAAAACTTATTCAGTTTGCCTAAGAGTGAGGCTCTTGCTGCCACATTGCAGAGTGAGCAAGATGTACTAAATATAGCAATCCCACAGTGTACTGCAGAGCCCTGGTTTATTTGTATACTGCACACACTGACCGTACAGACCCTTTTTCTCATATGCAGGCCTACGAAGCATCTCCTGCCAAATTTGAAGCTACTAGAGTTTGTGTGTAGATTTACATGAAGGACCCTGGCTTGAATAACATTGATCTGTGTGGCAGCCACTGAAAAAATTGATGAACATCCCTCTCTATTATTTTAGTATATCAAGGCTTCACTTTTCATCTATTTGCCATAGATTTACATTGTCAGATTCTCGGACATACCTGTCCGAATCTTCAGATCCTCTTTTTCTTTTTTCTTTTTTTTTTTTCACTTTGTCACTACTATCATTAGCAATGGGTTGAGTTATTTCATTATCAGACTAAGTGCAGTGTAGAATTTTGTGGAGCTGGGCCCATGGGACAGGTGAGGCTGTCTTCCGAGGATATACATGGTAGCTGGTGACTCAGGTAACTAGCATCTGTATTCCATAAGTTGACCTAGTCTGTAGCAGAGTCTTCTAAAACAGCAATTAGCATTATTGACTGCATACATACCACACATAGTCTTACCTGTACACCAGTGGAATGGGTTACAAGAAATAGTTATAATCCCTGAAAAATGTAAAAAAAATAAAAAAAAGTAAAAGATAGACTAAATACTAAGACAGGAAGCCATGAGCATAACTTTCTTTCTGTACTATAAATATTCAGTATTGGTCATTCAAAAGCATAGCTCTGCTCCAGCTAAAATTACTGAAGGTAGAACACTACAAGCATAGTTCTTCTGTACTTTAAATAATCAATATGGAACACCATGAGCTTAGCTCTGTTCCTTTAGCTACAAATGAGTTATAACAAAAATTTGATTAAAAGTCATTTTAGGAAGAAAAAATAATTTCATTTTTTACATAAGAAATTTTCCACAAAGGCAAACGTCCTAAAGAAGGAAGTGTGCTTACCATCACTCATTCAGTAACTGTTGTGTCAAAAGTGTGTATTCATTACAATTCCAATGATTAAGAGTGGTGACATCCTCACTCCTCCTTCAGAGTGTATTAACATTGATAGAATTACCAACAATATGTTGGGTAAAAGGACACAAGTGCAACGAATGTAACCTGGAGAGCAAAACGTTGCCACAATAAAATGTAACATTAATTGTACTTGTGTCCTGTTACCCAACTCCTTCAGAGTACATGTGCAGCATTTCCAGCCTCTGTTGCTCAAGTCTACCTAGATATTCTCCCTAAATCCCTTAGTAAATGCTCTAGAATTATAATAAATAGTTATATGTCCTAATATGTGCATTTTAAAGTTTGTATTATTGTTTTTATGTATTCATTTGTATACAAATACCTTTTATGGCAGAATTTGAAGATTTATTCAACCAATTCAAGAAAGAAACTGGTTCTGTGTTCCGCATCAAGTCATCGTGCAGTGTGGCTTATGAGAACTCCCGCAGGAAGAAGCACTTTATCCCTGCCCACTTCAAGTTTGTGTCTGTGAGGTACTGCTGTGTACACTATGGACAGCCCAAGATTGCTGGTCAGGGAATACGCATGAAGCAGAGGTGAGTGTATGTGTATGTATATATGTACATCTTGTGTATGTTTAGGTTTCCTCTTGCTTTGTGTGAATCTGCTTATGCAAATACACATCTTCATTTCAAAATTACTGTGCAAACATACAGTAATCTGAAGTCCATTGGATGCAGAGCATTTTGGGAAAAACTTAGTCTATAGCTACTTAAAAATCTTCTTTCAACAAACTGGCAGTATCCCACCGAGGCAAGATGGCCCAAAAAGAAAAACAAAAATTTCACTTTCTAACTTTAGTAATGTATACAGGAGAAGGGGTTATTAGCGCCTTGTTCCCGGCATTTCAGTCGCCTCTTATGACATGCATGGTTTACTGTTCCACTTCATGGGGAAGTGGAACAGTTTTAATTTTTAAGGGTCTGATGTACATAGTATAATATGAACTTTAAAGTAGATACAAGTTAATTCATAAAAAAAAAAAAAATATATAATTACCTTCTGCTAGCAGGGTGAGTGGTACTAATTAATTTAATTAAAAAAATTTAACATGGCAGTTGTGTCTCATGGGTCAGCAGCCCATCAGCAGCAACAGCCCGGTTGATCAGGCAAGCACCAGAAGAGCCTGGTCCATTGTCAGGCTCTGGGAATGAAAAACTCTCGGAACTTATCAAGGGTATTTCAAAGGTGTAAAGAAACTAAGATGTCCCTGAAACAGGATAGCACTTTCAGTCATTCATTCAACCACTGTCTTACCAGAAGCATGCTGATATAACAATTCAGTTGACCTTCCAAACCACAACATCCTCACCTGACTTCAGTCTTGCTAACCAGTTCCACTGAATTCTTTCATAAATATTACCCTGCTCACACTCCAAATCACAATTCAGATTCAAAATTCAATTTTTTTATTCCTTTGTAAAGTTTACAATGTGTGTTTTACATATTGTAAAATATTGTTAAGTACAAAGAAAGCCCCTAGCATGCCTGAGCATTTCAGACAGACTAATCCTAATGCTTACACACTACTTGAAACTAGATACAAGTGATAGAGTTGCAAGTTTTAATTACAGTAGACTGTTATATTACATGGTAGTCACGTTCCTGAAAATGTTAAGTAAATATGTTAGATAAACTGAAGAACTTATGGGAAAAATAGGGTTACGTTCCTGGGAGCCCAGAAAAAGACAGACAACTTTTTTTTAGACCTCCAGATCTTACAAAAATAAAAGTGATTATGTAATTGTAGTTCATTGTCGTGATGTATTATGTTATTTTTACTGCTTAAGACTACAAAAGCAACAGAAATGATAATATTTCTTATCTTAAATTGTGGGTGCTGGTGTTGATGATTGTGAAGAGAGTGGAGAGTTATGCTGTGGTCCTACTGGGCTGAGGTGGATGGTAGAAGTTCTGGTACTGAAGTCGATGGTTGTACCGGAGTGTGCATAAATTATGTAATGGATTTCTGGGCTGTTTTACCCTGCAGTACATTATACAGCTAACAGTAAGGTATCAGCTGATCTAGACACAGTTTCAGAGCAATGCTTCTAGATTTGTCAGGGTCCTTGTCAGTGAAAAAGTCTAAGCCTGTAAGTCGGTCAGTCAAGTCAGTCAGCAAAGTCAGTCAGTCAAGTCAGTCAGTAAATTAAGCCATGACCTAATAGAATATTCGGTTCTCTTGTATTCCTTGTAACTACCCTAATGATCATATGTACTGTTATTGCCGTATTAATTTTAGGTTAGTTTTAAGTTTACCCGAAATGCTTTGCATATAAAGGGGCTTTTGGCATGTACACCCAAGTATTATATTATATTATATTATATTATATTATATTCCTTTGTAAAAACATGTATCATACCAAAATAAAATATTATTGTAATTATTATTAATTGTACAAACTGATGCTTCATTAAGGCCGTAGGTTCACTCGTGCCTTATATCTCTATTTTCTTCATTAACTTAAACACTTATGCCTTTTCTTGCCACTTTCAGCAACACTGGTATGCCTACTGGGTGCCATGATTACTTGGCAGATACAAGATATGGCAATTAAAAGATCAAAACACAATTCACAAACACAGCTAGCGCCTAAGACACAGTGGAACTGGACATGTATGAATAAAGGCTGGGATGGGGGTGGCAGGGGATGGCAGTAGGTCTCCCCCACTGACACATTGATCTGACCCACAACAAGGCGGCAGCTTGTGCTGGGGAAATTTTGTCTGTGCCAGTAAACAGAACTGTGTTTACTTAATTTTACGATATGTTACATAAAATTGTGCCGCAATTTTTCAGTAGTACAGTAACCAAAACGTGGCAAATAAATCCGTGTAATATAATGGTCTACTGTATTCATTATTTTACATAGTTACAATAGAGAGGTAGCCAAAAATTTTATAATTAGTAAGATTTGTAGTAGCAAGGTACCACAAAACAAATATCAGTATTACAATTAGTACAATTTACAATGTTACAACAGTATGGTTTTAAGTATTTATTAATATTTTGGATTGATCTAGCAGTCATAAGCTTTTTGGGATTTCTTGAGTCATTTTAAGCTGGTTGAACAATTTAGTATAGCGTTGGTGTAGTTAAGTTTGGGAGATGAGATGATTTTTAATTATAGCCCTAAATTGATTGGTAGACAGGGGACCTTTTGCTGGTTCATGCAATGAATTCAAGATCTTAGGGCCCTTTATGTGCATTACATATGTATATAGGGTGAAACAGGCACAAGGGAAGTCAAAGAGAGTTTTGTGCCTTGTGTTGTGCCTGTGTGTTCTGTTGTAACTATCAAGGAGAACATGACTCACGAAATCGTAATGACACGATTGCAAACAAACCATACCATGCCCGTGGTATGGTTTATCAAGGAGAAGTTTGAGAGGCTCTTGAAGAGCGGTGTGTCTGTTGCAGGAATTGCTGATCAAGCACACAGCAGTTTTTTGTTGGGTTATTAATGGTTTAAGGTGATAGGTCATGGTAGATTCCCAAGTTCAAATACCATAGGTGAGGTAAGGGTAGAAAAGAGAGTGGTATGGTGTAAGTAGTGCCATTTAGGGTATGTAGTACTGTGTCTTGGAAGGGATGCCTTATGTTTTAGATACTTTCTTGGCTATATGTTGGATGTGGATCTGAAATTAAAAGCTGCAGTCAAGGTGAAGACCTAAAAATTTGTCCTTAGTGTGTCTAGTGATGGGGGAGCCATTAATCAACATGTTAAGTTGGATATTTAAAGTTATCTTTCCAAACAGCATGTAGTAGGTTTTATCTATATTGAGAGGAAGTTTGTTGGTCATCATCTGAAGTCTGAATAAATGAATAATGAGCATACTTGAAACCTGCTACATTAACCCTTTCCGGGTCGACAGGCCCTCTCAGAGACTTGTTCTCAGGGTCGGCCAAATTTAAAAAAAAAAAATATTTTTTCTTATGAAAAGATAGAGAATCTTTTCCCGATCATAATGACACCAAAAGTATGAAATTTGATGGAAAACTTACAGAATTATGCTCTCGCGAAGTTTGCGGTCTCGACGATGTTTACGCATTGGCGATTTTGCCCACTTTGAGCCCTATTTTCGGCCAATTCCGGTGTACTTGTCGATACAAATCATAACTATTTCGCTAGAACTCCATTTTTTCTATCGAATGAGTGCAAGAAACCACCCATTTACCGATTTCAACTATCCAATGCAGTGGTCAGAATTTAGCAATTTTGCCAATTTCACACAAATTTCAAAAGATGCCAATTTCTGAATAGGGTCCAGAATAAACAAGAAAGACATTCCTGGCACTAAAATAACATTTCCTCTGTTCATTAGTCACGCCCCACGCCCCTCTTACAGTCTTTTGCTTTCCACTTTGAATTTTTATTCTCACAAAAAAATAGAAGATTTACTGTTATGCAGTCTACTGCATTAGTGTAGAAATGGTATAAATTATATCAGTGTTCTTGTGAAAGAATATTAGACTCACCAGTTAACGTGTATTGGACGAATAGCATGATTTGTTTACTTTTGAACTTTGGTAAAAATTGAACATTTCTGCTAATTTGAGCTCAATTTCAAGGTACTTTTCTTTGTAAAACCAGTCAAAATCATCTCAATTTTTGTAATATGTCTTCCATTCTATAAAATGAGACCAGGAAAACTAGAATACAGCAATAAATACCATACAAAAATACAGTGCAAAGTCGCTGTTTTAATCCAAAAACACGGTCAAAGTTTTTTTTTTCTCATTACGCACTGTGTGCTGCAGGATTTTTTTTATACCACGCACACTGACCACATAGACCCATTCTTTCATATGTAGGCCTACCAGCTTTCACTAGATTTGAAGGCGCTAGAATTTAGGCGTACAAAAACCCTGGTGCATAAGCCATACTAGTACGGCCGAAACCCTGAAAAGGTTAATGGAATGTTGTACTGTGTAATGTGAAGCGCCTTAAAGCGGCGCCCTCCTGTATTTAGTCTCCATGCATATATATCTGCTCTCTTTCTCTCCCTCTCTATCTCTTTATCTCTATATCTCTCTTTCTCTATCTATCTCTTTCTCTTTTTTTTTTACACAGGGTTTGACAAGGTTAGGTTAAGGATTCCTAGCTTTATTGACAAGCTATTTACAGGTTAAGGATTCCTAACTTTATTGACAAGCTAAGAGCTGTTACCTGCATCAGCTCATTTGAAAGCATTTTTATTGTTATGAAACATAAAAGTAGGGAACAGGATGAAGTTGGAGCCATCTGTAGGCCAGCATTTTCATCTGATTAACTGACTTTATCTCATTGACATCATAATACTGTACGAATGTGTTCCAGACTTGGGTCATCCTGGGAATAAATGATCTCAGATGAAGTGATGTTCTGGAGAAGGGTACAGCCAGAGTTAAGTTGCTGCTTTCTCCCCATCTTGTGGTATAGAAACTTGCTTCACGCTGTCCTCGAAGTGGATCCGAGTGTGGTACTTTTACAATATTGGCCTTGTACATAACAGTAAGGCCACCCACATCCCTCCTGTGTTGAAGGCTCTGCTG